ATTATCGTATGCCCGCTTGATGTCAAAATAAGCTAACCATAAGGGAGTTTGGTTCTTCATTGCTATTTCTATACGTTGAGTGGTGACGAACAAGTTATCTTCCAGTCTTCTATCTCTCCGGAGTCCATTTTGGAGCTCGCCCAGTATTTGCATATCTTCTGTCCATTGCTCCATTGTACACTTTACTATCTGCATAACTGATCTGTATAGAATTGAATTGAAGTTGCATTGCAACTCGGGGTTGCCAGCTTAAAATCGGTTTAAAAGAACGCGTGCAACCAAGTTGTAATACAGACATGTCTATCGGCAGAAAACAGAGGAAACTTAAAAGCCCTGGAAATGTTCGGGTATTGTAGGTTGCAGAACGCCGTGAGTGGAAAATTGTGATGCAATGTTACTTTCTTGCTTGCGTTCGTTAACTCGTGTGCTCATAAGGTCCGCACATTTGGCTATATCGGTATCTGTATTGATGATAAGTGAGTAACCAACAAACTGAGGCAGCAAAGACGTGGTTGTAGTGAAACTAAGATTTTCTTAGAGGTGCTGCATTACCCACCTGTCATTGATCTTGGTGGTTTTAGATCTTTCATAGTCGTTCTCTAAATCAGTCTCGGAATTTCCGTACAAAGAAAGTTAAATTCCTCGAAATATTCGAGGAATTTAAGGCCGTAATACCGGTCGAACACCTTTCCGTCGCCCGACGAAAGCTTCTCCGGTTTCTCCAGGCGGATACTTCATAGTTTACATGCTGGGATCCGTCATGGTCTTCCTCTTCGGAATACTGCTGCCCATCATGCGTAAGTAATACTCGTCTTTCTACGGCTACAAATGTCGGCGATGGCGTACGTGACGCGGGCGGGCCGTCGATCAGGAACGTTGGCCTCGTAAATCCACTTTCAACAAACACTAGCTCGTGTAAGCAAAAACTGATTCCTGTTTTACGTTTTATGTAAGCGTAAAGTGTTTATTCGAAACACTAATTAGTAGCCAAAGTAAACAATAAAAAAAAACAATTGCACCTCATTTTTTTAGCTTAAGGCTAATTCACACATCTGTGCTTGAGTGGGCACGAGTGCGTTGCGTTTCCTTCTACTAACCGCTTTTGAGAGATCACACGGACGCACAACCTATTTCAGATCCTCTGATCAGCATATAACTAGACTGAAGGTTTTGCAGTACTATTTGCTAGATCAAAGTTATAACATGTCATATTTAGTCCCATGGCGCAATAATGATGCGCAAAAAAACATACAAGTACAAAAGGCGTACGCGGATCAGGACTGCTCTAGGGATATGCGATATATGGCTCTGGTATACCAGCACCTTCTCTCGTCCTAAGCGGTTGGCAGGAAATGCGAAATTGGCTCGAGCCAACTTCGATAAACAGCCTTTACATTTTTGGAATTGTAAAGCTCATTTTCGAACGAAAATGAGCTTTAATTGCTCATTTTCGAACGAAAGTTCGAAAATGAGTTTGCAGAAACGAGCTATAAACCCGTAAAATGAGAGAAGGAAAAAATATATAAAAGACGTTTACAAATTACTGTAACGCGAAATTAGAGCGCAGCTCTTGAGGAGGAGGAAGAGGGGAGGGTATGCCCTGTCTCTCCCCTCATCCTCCTCCCACAGTTTCCTCCTCTAAATGTAGCTGAAAAATTGACGCCACGTGACCCCAACACCATTTCACTTTCCCCGCTGAATTTAGCGGGGAAAATGGCGTCAGATGACTCGGTGTCACGTCACCTGTAAAGAAATTCAGTTTCTCCGCTAGATTTAGCGAAAGAATTGACGTCACGTGACCTCAACACCAATTCGATTTTCCGCTAAATTTAGCGGGTCGCGTGGCGTCAATAGGGAGTTTTCGTAGACCGCGCTGCCCCCTCCGCTAAGCGTTCCGCAACGAAGAAGTTGCTACTGCGCCTGCGCGCCGATAGCCTTGACTGTGGAGTTCCCGCTATCGTAGCGGTTGCGGAGGGCCTTGCGGGACGACGAAAACGATCTACGAAAACTCCCTAATAGGGAGTTTTCGTAGACCGCGTTAACCGCGTTTCCCCCTCCGCTAAGCCCTCCGCAATGAAGAAGCCGCTACTGCGCCTGCGCGCCGATGGCCTTGACTGTAGAGCTCCGGGTGCCGTAGCGGGTTGCAAAGAGCGTTGCGGGACGGCGAAAACGATCTACGATAACTCCCTAACTTTCCCGCTGAATTTAGCGGAGAAACTGAATTTGTCCGCTAAATCTAGCGGAGAAACTGAATTTCCCAGCTAAACTTAGCGGGGAATTCAATTGTTGAGGTCAAATGACGTACATTTTTCCGCTAAATTTAGCGCGGTTACGCCGACGCCGCGAAACACAAAAACGGGCGCCTAAAAACTGCGCTTAAAAAAAAAAAAAAAAAAAAAAAAAAAACACCGACGAGTTGATTACTTTTGCAGTGGTGTTCATCCACTCCTCGATGAGACTGCGCAACATCAAGAACAAACTGACCAACAAGATTGAGACCATCGGGCTCAAGAGGACCCCCATGGGCCTGTTTTTCGAAGCGCTGGGCCAGGAGCAGGAAGTGGGATCGTAAGTGTTCGTCCCGCCGGTCGCCCCCTCGGTGGGACCGCAGGAAGCCGCCGCCCCCCCTCCCCGACGGACCGCTAACATCACGAGATGTTGCCGAGGCCAGGACCCCGGCCTCCCGAGCCCGCGAGCCCTCCCCCGGGCGGAGCCGTAGTCGTAGTGCGGCCAAAACCTGGTTGGTGTCGAGAACTCTGGGGTCCTGCAGAGGGCGGATACGGAACTGAGGAAGGAAGGCTCGAACGGGGATGCTCTGCGAGTTAACTTACCTGGGGCTCCAAACTCGTCAAACACAAGGTTGGAACAGAAAGTTCGCGGAGCGCGAAGTCATCGTCGTGATGGTCCAGTCGGAGCGCTCCGTCAACCTCGGCCCCAACTTTGTGTTTGACGAGTTTAGAGCCGTCCGACGCGAAGGGAAAGGCAGACATTTTTAGCTGTTTGGAAGGGAACATTCCGATCCCCTTTACTGATTTCGAAGGATTTTGTTTCAGTCGAACTTCTTGGCTTTCAGGCATTTTGGGATAAACGTAACTTTTACTTTTTTTTTGTTTCCTCTTTTTGTTTTTGTTTTTCTTGGCAGACAACAAAATTTTGGTCAAGAAATTATTGACGGGTTTCTGATTTAGGTTTAATGGGCTCTGTGTGTGTACATTTAACCTATTGTTGGTGACGGGTAAAGTGTTCAGGGTGAGGGAACAGAAGGCTGGGTAGGAGGAAGCAGGTGGAATTCTGGAGAGAGGGGGGAGGTTTCCTCCTCTCCAGCAATCTATCTGCTTCCTCCTCCCCAGCCTTCCTTTTCCTTGCCCTGGACTCTTAACCTGTCGCCGACTATAGTTGATTCTTTTCATATTTATTTAATTTATCCTTTTTCTTTCTTCCTGTCACCTTGCTTCGCATATTTCGAAGAAATGTAGTATGTGAATTTTTCACAAAACTTGGATTCCTTAGCGAAGAGACGTTGGAATTTATGGCTCCTCATTGGTGCAGGGAGAAAAGATTATTTTTTTAGGTATTATTATTTTTTTTTAATTAATCCGGCTGGATTAGATAATCACAATCAAAGTGACATGTCATGGAGATGTGCGAAAACTGTGGCCACTGGTCATCAGCTGGGATAATGCTAGATTACTTGGAGGGAAAACAGTGAAGTGTACTTTTTGTTCCTTATTTATTTATGTTGCTGAGAATATTTGCTCATCTCTGTGTCAGTAATGCTGCGGTCAGCTCCGCACCGTGAACCAGTAGTACTGGTTGATGGAGCTTGAATGTTTGTGAGAGCTTGAATATTTGCAACATCATTTGTACCGAAGAGCAAAATGAGCCCCAATTTATTTTATTTTTGAGGTCGTTATGTTTTCTCAATCAGTTAAGATATTATAATAATAGTTTGCAACTTGTTACTTCTTCAGACTTAGCTTTATTGTTGTTGTCATTTGCCTCATGTCTCTTTGGAGTCTTCCACATTGTCTGGACCTCCAACACATCCAGTTAAATATGCGGTACCTACGTACATTGCACATCTCTAAAGTTGGGCAATCTTGTAGAGGACCTTGCAGTATTCATTAAAAGTTGTGTCACACAACTCGTTTTCGTGATTCGTTTTGGAGAAATCTGCGGGATCAGCCTTTTTAAGATATTTGCCATTTAAAACTTTCTAAATATATTTTTTTTATTTTTTTATTGGGACTTTGATTGTGTGTGTGCACGTTTGCTTCAGTCTAAACGCATGCTTGCTTACCCAGAGCTTTTTTTCTTTTTCCTAAGCCGAGAGGTGAAGCGATGGTTCGGCGAACGTTAGTAGTAACTAGGTACAGATGGTCGCATCTCGCCGACTAATTTGTCTGTCAAGACGAACAACGCCGCTGCACAGCTTGCGCTGCCTGCTTTTTGTCGCACTCACGGCGCTGGAAATTGCATTTTCGGACAATCGGTCCGTGTCTCCCGAACACGACGCTGAGGAGAGACGTCGAAACGCCAGCTTGCGTACGGAAACACCGCAAGCCATACCTTCGCGTGCATCGCCGAACCTGAATTACGTTAGGCGACGGTGCAAGCAGGGTCCACATCTGTGACTGTTCTTACAAGTCCCCGCGGGATCCTTAGTCCCCCTCATAACTACAACAACAACAACAAATGGATTTTGTCTCGGTGGCGACAAAAAACACCCAGCCGTTCGCGGTGTTTTGTGCCAGGAAAGCACGGGCGAGTATGGATTGTAACGATTGTGGCGCCGAAGGCTGGGAGGTCTCCGTTTTCTATTTCTTGTAGCGTTCGAGACGACGTTCAAAAAGAATACGAAGGTAGAGATAATGGTTTCCGACTGTCACCCGAAGATGTTTGCCTGCCGGCGAGCGGAGCATGTGGCATCAGTTTACCGTGCTTTTACGGTTCTTGGCAGGCCACCTTTTTTTTTTTTTTTTTACGGTTCTTGGCAGGCCACCTTTTTTTTTTTTTTTTTCGTGAGCCGGGCGAGCAGACGACACGCGCGACGACGTAGGCACGTGTTTCGTCGCTGATTGGCTAGCTTTTTCGAACTCTCGCCCAATGGCGCTAGCTCAGCGAGCTACATTTGTTCGGCGAGGGGAAATGGCGGCTCTTTTTCAAATCTGTACTTTTTTTTTTTATTTTATTATTATTTTTCCGCTGGTGAGGCTGCTTTGGCGTTGTTGGTGGAATGAAGAAACGCTCGCGCGCGCGCTCTCTCTTCAAAGTCCGTCTGCTGCAATTGATGCGTTGGAAGCTACACGAACTTTTTTGTTGTTGGAGAGACCGCGGGCAGACCCCCTTTCTCCTCTTTTTGCCGCCACGGAAGAGCTACAGCGAAGCTGGGGCACGTCCGTCCAATAAGCAACTCCAGCCAAACATTTCTTCTTCCGAGAGGCGCAGACTTTATAATTAGATACCCTCCCCCCTTCCACTTCCACCCCTCCCCAAAAGCCCCAAAAGTAAGCAACCCGTGCCCCCCTCCCCCTACACTCCTTTTGCATAGCTCCAGAGGGACAAAGTTCAATTCGGCTTTTCTTCGCATCGTTATTTCTTTTGCTCTCTCTTGTCGTCGGCGTATTTGTTCACGCCTACTCGTCCGGCTATGCGAGAGAAAACACGCTCGCGTAAAGTACAAAAACACAACAAAAAACAGCGGAAGATCGGAGGATGCTCTAGCATCCAGACTAGCTGCGAAGCGAGCGGTGGAGCAAGCAGATCTCATCCGTCCTGGGCATCACGTGCCATGTTCTCCGAGTCGGACCTCCACAACCCTAGCCTGGACGCTCAAGTCGCGGCGGCCGTGGCCTACCAGAACATCCGCGACCACGGCCTGATGCGGCGCCCTCCGTACCACCTTCACCATCACCACGACGTGGCCAACCCGCCCTTCTACCAATTTGAAGACGTCCCGTTGCCCTGCTCCGCTGGAGTGTACGAACACTGCGGCATCGTCGAGCCGGCGACTGCTGCGGCGGCGGCCTACCTGTACAACCCGACGTCGATGGTGTACGACTACGGCAGCAGCTGTCCCGACTGCTGTGACCGGGAACTGGCCCTGTCGGACGCCGCCAAGTCGTCCGGAGACGACGCTACCTGTCCTGGCCGCAGACCGACGCGCAAGCGTAGCCTGTCCCAGGCCGAGCTGGAGCGTCGGAGGTCGCTGGCGAACCACCAGGAGAGGCGACGGATGCATCGACTCAACTCTGCCCTGGATCGGCTGAGGAGTGCCATCCCGTTGAGACTTCAGAGCGGCGGCGGCGGTGCTTCTAACTCGAGCAGTCCAAGTTCCAGGAGACTTTCGAAGATAAAGACTCTGAAGATGGCCATCAGCTACATCGGGGAGTTGCAGACGGTGCTGGGAGTCGCCGCCGCGGGTTCGGGACGGTGTTGGAACTGACGACGTGTGCTTCGGCGCAGGTCGATTGAGTCGATACGTGAGTCGAATCATCGCGCTGTGTTTGGACTCTGGAACACCAGCTTCTGGGCTGATGGCGATTTCGCTTTAGTAAGTTGGCTGCGGCAGTGTCGCGTCTGCAAACCTCAGCTTAAAAAAAAAAAAAAAAAAAAAAAACTATAGTAACTTTTTTTTTTTTTTTTTTTTCTGCTTTAGATTTTGTTCAAGACTATAGACGAGGTTTTCGGGACGTTCGGTGCACGCGTTGACGTTGAGAGTGAAAGGAGGAAGGGTTAGGTAATTTAATGCTTCGCGCATTTTGTTTCGTTTTGGAACTCGAACTTTACCTTATGGAAAAGAATACTCCCTTGTACGACCGAACAGAGTTGTCTTCGGTAGTGCTTTTAAACACCAATAAACGATTTTTATTATTATTGGAAGGTTCGTCTGCTTGCGTTTCATTTAATCGCCGCGCCAGTGCAGTGTGCCTATTTTCGGGGCTTTTCGTGTACACCTTTGGTCGATTTTAGAATAATCGACGCTGGTCTTGGAACGACCTCAACGTTAGCGTGCGACGCACGTTTCGTGTCATACAGCACGCCATGCATGTTGCCTCCAATACTACAACTCGTGCTTGGCTGCGCTTTTAGGGGTGTATCGGCGACTTATCTTTGATTTGACGGCGGCTGCCCACCATCTGTCAAAAATTGATCGCGGCTTGAATGCTTAGATGTTGGCTTTTGTTAGCTCGGAACTGTGGTGTTTATCTGGGGAATTCGAACTTGAAGCGAATTTCTTCATTCTAACACAATATAGAACAGGGGTTTTCAAACCCTTGCCCGAGAGTCTTTGTGCCTTTATTGTCCTTGTTTTGTTTGCGCTTTTTAACCTTTTAAATTAGAAAAAGAAAAAGCGATTGGCTACATTAATTAAAGGGGGAATTGTAATTCGGATGACCAGACGTCTCGGTATGGCCAAGACAATCCAAGCCTCGTGACCCGTTTCCGTGCAGAGTCGCGAGATCAGTGCTAAGCGAGTGAAGGAAACCAAAAAGAATGTTTACTTGTTACACAGGCGTACTTTTCTAAAAAAATAAAGATATACTATGAAGTCACTACCCCATAGAGTACAATCCTGAGCTCTTTTTGTGGTTACATGTGCCAATAGATTTTGTTCGCACAGACGTGTGGGCGGGAGACTTTCTTTTATTACTGAAGTTGGCACCTTTTGAACTCCGGAAAAGGTGCGTTTTTACGTTGAAGTTGGCGGAGCTTTTCTCTCTGCCTCGCTTGCCCGCTCACCGATGTCCCGTTTTTTTTATCTGAGGATTAATATGGTCACCCGAGTTAAAATAGAACAGGGGTTTTCAAACCGTTGCCCGAGGGTACTTGAACAGGGCGTAGGGATGCACTCAACTTTATTTTCGTAATAACGGCTAATCCGTTTCTCTTTTCTTTTCCTTTAATTATTGATATTACGTAGTACCTTTGCTAATCAGTCGCCTTCGTTGTTGCAGCGTTGGACAAGGCCCCCAATCGCGGGCTTGCACATTCCCTCAGCCCGTTTTGTTAGCTACATGTTGGGTCACTCACGCACGTCAAATGTAGGCTTTTATTTTTTGTTTGCAATGCAACTTATTAAAATGAAATACCAAGAAAATGTTTTTTTTTTATTGCACGTTTCATATTTTAGTTTTTAACGGGTGTGAGCTGATTATTTTGGATGCCCTACACACGTCGCGAAGGAGGTCTCCCCTCTGGCATATCGGTCGTAGCGCTCATTTGGACCGGCTAGCGGTATGCCTTGCCCCCATGAATGTACGGTAAGCAGAGAACGTAAAAGGCACCGTAAAGCGGTTAGAGTCAGTGGCGTAGCCAGAAATGTTTTTCGGAGGTGGGGGGCTGAAGTGGCTAGGATGTCCATTACTTGGGGTGCAGAGAGGGGGGGGAGCCCCCCCCCCCCCCCCCCCCCCCCCCTTCAATCCTTCTTGGCTACTCCCCTGGTTAGAGTATACACTGCAGTGCTTGTTTTAATTATGAAGGTTGATTGGACAAATTGATACGCTCGGCAGCGAGTTTTAGCAGACCACTTTGCAAGCAGTTGATTGTCCGCAATCCGTTTTGCAGACACTCGATCGTCTGCAATCTGCGTTGCAGACATTTGATTGTGCGTAGTCCGCTTCGCTGACATTCGTTCGTCTGCAGTCCGATTCGCAGACGGTCGATCGTATGCAAAAATGGTTGCGTCTTCGAGTCTCCCGACTTGCAAGAATGATAAATAATACAGCCTGTCGCCGAAGCGTCGTCCAGGCTGTTGCTGGGCTTCGCCGAGGACGTCTGTGGGAAAGGTTCCCGCTGCTCTAACCCCTGCCTTCTCCTCCCATGACCGCCGTTTCAGTCGCAGTGCCGGATTCGTTTCGTCGGCGGCACAGGCCAGCGGAGAGCTGGCAGACAAGCTCGAAGACAAGATCAACCAAATCGGACAGCGTAGGTCAAGAAAACAAGTTTAGAACGGGCAGTCAGGAAAATGGTCGGCCACGTCTGGCCTGGGCGCCTATTTCCCCTTCGCGGTGTGAATGAGTTTGAACAACCGTTGTCGCTAGCAGACGACAACTAACGTATCTGCCGACTCCGCGCCATAACCGCAGCATGCCAGTTTGTACTTTGCGTTAATGGTATGCAGCACGGGCACCCAGCACTATGCGCACTAACGGAATCTTCGTGCGCGGGCTTCGTTCCCCCCAGAACCACTAATCGAAGCAACGCTTTTGAGTGACGACACGTCAGCCTTTGGGGTGATTAAAATCATAGTTGCCAATTATTGTAAACATATTTTTTTATTATTTTCAACTCCGCCCGCTTTGCACTAAGCACCAGAATGGCGGCGTCCTCAAGATAGTCGGGGAACGAAGTGGCGATTACTGTACGCGTAGTTATATTTAGTGGCCTTAGTTTCCACGTATGGGTCAACTCGTTATCGATCGCGCTGACCGGGGTTACGTATGGCTAGATTTAACCCGCTTGATATAAATCGCGAAGGTCAGCTTTGCACGCGCTGTAATTTACCATGAAAGTGGGGCTAAGTGGTAGATTTGTTTTGGGAAAATATCGAAGGAGACATCGATCTGCCTCAATCAGGAGCAAACGTCCTCGTGGTTAACATACTTTTATTTTTTTTTTTTTTGAAGGGTTAGCGCTTTATTGAAGCATTGGGAACTCTTGATTTTTGGTCTGTAACCTCTACAATAAATTTTTACATAAAAAAAGCAAAGGAATTCACTAGCTTTCGTGGTCGATTACAGTCCTTGTGGCATATTTTATCGATTTATATAAAGTGGGTTAGATATATTGACCCACTTCATACCTTCGTTGCAAAACGAACTTTCAGCAATCTTTTTTTTTTTTTTTTGTGGACTGGAGATTGCGGGAGAAAAACTATGAATAGCTAGGCCATTGTTATGGGGCATTCCCTTTTGGAGCGATCTTCAAGCGCTCCATTCTCGCGCCTTTAGTGCGGTCTAATTCGAGCGCTTGAACGCGCAAGAAGATTCCAACAACAACAAAAAAAAAAAAAAGAATTCTCCATTAGTAGCACGTCGTTTACATGCGAACGTAGACGCTATAACACGAGCTCACGGCTTTCAGCATCCTAGCCAAGCACGCGCGCTCGTGCTTACATTGTGCGCGTCACGCACACGTCGGGTGTATCGCGCATGTATTTCCGGGAGATAGAAGAGAATGGTCGATAGTTACATTGGTGTTTCGGTGTTGGTTTGTGCGTGAAAGCGTCTTTTCTTTCTCTTCCAAGGTATGAGGATTAGCCGAAACCGGTGACACGGTTAATGGCGCCTCTGCGTCTTCCACCGGCCGAGCGGATGCAGCCTCCCGCAAGTTCTCTCAGAGATCTGACTCCCGCGCTTTTTTCAATAACGATTCTTGTACACGAGCAACGAATAAAACACGTAGAATGTGCGAAAGTTGCGGTCTTTCGTCTTCGTTCCGAGACCCCGTGGGGTACACTCACGCGGAGTTGATTGTACCCTTGCAGGACCCAGGGAATTTGGGCTTAGCCTCACCTCTGCCCGTTTCCATCTGGGTGAGCCTTGTGCCGGCGAGCGGTCTCGTGGAACACGACCCCTGCTGTAGCGGTCGTACTGCACTGGCTGAATTTCTCGGCGCGTAACAATGTCGCCATACTCTTGCAAACTAAACTCGCATTGTCTGAGCACCAAACGATTAATTTGTTGTTGAGTGTACCCTTTTCAAATTCAACAATTTTGGAAATATAAAAAAAAAAAAACGATTTTGTTTCATTTAGGCGCGGTTCTTGGAACTATACTTATATGTGATAGCGCGAAAAAAACGAAGTGTTTAGCGTTACGTCCGACGTAACCCAAGTTACGTCCAAATATCCGCCTTCCCTAGGTTTACGGGGGAGAGAGAGGAGGGCCGGGGGGGGGGGGGGGGAGGGTTAGGTATACGCGTTTCAGTACTCCGTCCGGACGTAACGCTAGCCACAGCGTATAAAAGATGCTGACGACAATTTGGGGGGTCACTTTCAAAGTGCTGTGCCCCTCGGATGTCGTCTCTGCGAGGAGTTTTATTTAGGCGGATCACTATGGACAGTGACTATTTAATTATAAAATGGAACGTCTTTGCAATGAGACATTCCCTTATCGTAGACGCATTACCTTATCGCCTGCTCCCTCTCCCTTTTTTTCTTTTGTTTTTCTTCTGTTTTGACCATTTTCTCCGCTTTTCTAAGCCCTTAAATTGCAACCCTGTTGATTCTTGTTTGTTGTTGTTTAGCTCACAATTACAAAAAATTCGAACGCACAGGAACTTTCAGACCTCACACGATGTGACTCGGTCACTTGCGGTTCCCTCCAGTCTAGGAGAAAGACATCGGCAGCGACCTTCGTTTATTTAATAGTATTATTTAATATACCACAAAGTGCCCTGACGGCATTGTATTGGGGGGGGGGGGGGGGGGAAGAGAGAGAGAGATACAAATATTGCAACAAAAAAAAAAAAAGGGCAAAGAAGCATTTGACGCACGTAGCGTAATATACATATTAAAAAAAAAAAAAAAAGTTGTGCTTATGCGCAAAAAGTCGCCTATATTATATAACACTCCTAAAAATATCCTATTTCCACATACAGCATTGAGAAAAAAAATAATAATGGTAGCGTCAAGAGACATAAATATAACAATTCACAAGCTGATTTGAATTTTATTTTATCCGGATCTTCCACATTCGGGGGCAATGCGTTCCAGTCTGAAATGGCAAGCTATAGCGGGGAGTTGCGGAATTGACTACTAGTACGACTGCTGGATAAGCGAATGTTACGAGAATGATCGTATCTAATCGTATCTAAGAAAGATTCAATCAGCGGCAAGTAGTAACCGCTCTTTTTTTTTTTTTTTTGGGGGGGGGGGGGGGGGGGGGGGTGCGGGTGCGCGCGCTCATTAAAATAATAAAGGTTACGAATTAATGCGAGACGGAAACTTTTACGGCTAGTGTCTAATGAAGGTAAGTTAGCTGTCAGCATTATAGTGCTGGCACGCTGGTGTATGATGAGTAGTCTTTAATTAGAGGGCGCGCTCCTTTATTGTCTATTCTTTCTAATGTAGTGATAACATAATCCTAGCATGGGGCCCATATATGACGCTGGCGTGCTCAAGTTGTGATCTGGCGAATAATTTAAAAGCAAGTAGTCGAATTTTGGGAGGTATAGATACAATTGTCTGCTGAACCCGAATGATCTACTTCCCTTGTTTACAATATTAATCAATGTAATCTTGCCAACTAAATACCAAAATATTTATTTTTGCTTACTTTTTATAGAGTTCACTATAAAAATGAAATTCATTGCGTTTTTGTTTCGTGTTGTTTGTTGACAGAGACATTTGGTTCTATCTACTTTGATGCGCACCTGCCACTTCCTACACCACGCAGCTCACTCTGCGGTATCGCGGTGTCATTTATGTTTACGTTCTTCCTATACAGCTCACAATCGTCTGCGTTGAGCTTAATTGATGAAGCTATGTTGACAGGAAGGCCACTGATATGAAGCAGAAAGAGTAGAGTGCTCTGTCCAGAGCCCTGGGGCACGCCGGATATCACCCCGTACTCCTCGATAAATGAGCAGATTTCGTTATATTCATTGGGAATTCCCAATCCAGAGTGAAATTAAGGGGTCGATCGATGTTCGGCATTTCAAGTTGATGTAACAGCAGTTTGTGAAGCACACAGCCAAGGGCCTTCACGTTTCAGAGAACGGGTACGTTTTATGGAAGCACGGTTTAGAGAGAGCGAAGCCTCAGTTTTGAGAAACGCCGTTCATCGAAAAGGGGACGCTGTGTAAAAGAGGCTTTCCTACTTTGCGCGTGTATCTCTAAGGCGCATATTGACCCGCCACCCCACCCTCCCTCCCTCCCTTCCTAGTCTGCGGCGGCTCATTGCAAAAATGTTAACTCACTTGACCTAAGGCCTTAACTTGACCCACCCGTGCACGCCGCTTCGCGGCGGACGAATTCGCTAAATTCGTCGTGTCCCTGTAATCTGTACGTGTTCTACCATAGCTGGACCAATCATTTACAGGGAAGGTCTAGTGACTTGCGCCTTTGACGCTCTTTGATACCTCGTAGCGTCGGTTGCGTCTTACCTTGAGCTGAAACGAAGTATAGTTCAAAAAGTTGAGTTGCACGTGATTTTCTTTTTAAGATACGTTGCGCTTAAAAAAATAATACCATTATCCAATAAAAAAATAATATCCATGCAGTAGAAAATTAATAATGTGACTGTAAATTATATTCCAATACGTCACGTGATCGAGACAGAAATTCACTTTCACTTCTAAATTTAGCGGGAGGAATGCACGGACGAAAGGGCACATTTCCGGGATTAGGTTGTCCCGTTACAATAATGTTCCTTGCGTAAAAAAAAAAAAAAAAAAAAAAAAAGTTTGAACGCAGCCGGATGGCTCTTCTCTCAAACGTCCATAAGAAGATGCGTGTCTGGTTCCTGATTTGTTCTCCCCCCTTTTCACTGCGAAAAGAAGAAGAGCATCGCGAGTCTTAAAGTCCAGGGTGCTTTGCAAGCCAGACGAGTCGAGGAGGTTTTCAGGGTTGGTTCTGTTGGATGCGAACCTCGGGTCGTGTCTGCGTCGCCGACGAGCGAGCAGCCAGAAAGGAAGGAGAGAATGTCGGCGCTTGGAGAGTCTCGTGTTTCGGCGAGACGTGCCTGGGCGCCTGGGCTGCCCGGAACGTGACCTGAAGCGTAACCTAAGGCCTACCTAACCCCCTCCTCTCGCCAGCGAACCCGAGATCGCTTTGGCCAGCGAGGCCTTCTCTATGGCACAACGGTTTCACGATATGCCGTTCGGCGACGAGAAGACTGAACGAACAAGGTGTACAAGAGGAGAAACTGTGCACAGCGGTAAACCGAGATAGGCAAGAGGTCGGCGTTAGCATGTGATTGCGAAAA